CAGATCATAAGGAACAAGAATTTAAACTCCACACGATCACATAATTATGATTTCTGAATGGGAATCACATCTTGTCAAATTGCTGCTGACAGTCACCCACTCAGCAAAAAGAGACCACAATCATCATCAAAGAAAGCTGTTTTGAGAGTCTTTTCAGAACAAATATGCCTTTCATCAATATCTGGCATCAGCAGCTTATCCTCCTTCCCACCTTGTTCTATGAGAAAACACATTTACTGAGGTTAGAGTCAGGAAGATTGAAAACTTTGTTCTTTGAATCTACCGCCGAAGTCCTATTTGCAGTGCTTGAGGCATTCTCAGGCAATAAAAACCATCATTGCAAAACTCTGTTCTTTACCACTCAGTCACTACAGTATCTAAGTACCTTTTGGAATTGAATTAGGCAATGTAATTACCATACGTCATGTGTGCTACTTACTCTCATGTATATATCTATACACGTTTCTCTCCTGTAAATCTATATGCATAACTCTATCTAGGTAGAGTACAGCGTAATTATAAAGCTAAACTTGTCCCTCTCCAACAATGATGCTTCATGTTTAAAATAAATATCCACTAAACACTATTGCTTTGCTCTCAATAAACCAAGGATAATAAAAGCTCACATTATGTTTCCATGTACAAGCTTAATCAAATCATTTTGGCTAGGATATTGTATTTGTTTAAGAGCAAATGATCAAGCTGATAATATCAGCACTGCATTGATTAAAGTGAATTTGATCAGCAAGGTAGATCAGGAAAGCATTGCAAAATATTGGAGTGGTAGAAACTCAAATGAAGTAGAAATATTAATGCAAAGAAGGTCACAACAGATTTTTAATAAAGAGAATACTGTAGGCAAGCTGATGGTATCTAGCAAAGAAGGATTTTAGGAATGATACGATTTGTGTGCATATGTTGGTAAATAAATGAATTCGGGTTAATCCTCAATAAGGGTCAGGTTTTCTGTTAGTATGGATTGCCTTTTTCTCTCCCCATAATAAAACTCAACAAACAGTATTTCCTTGGCACAGTTACAAAAGCAACACAACGCCGTAGATCAGTTGGTACTGAACAGCAAAACCACCAACACTAAAGTGTCAGAGTAACTGCTACCTGTAGAATAATTTCAGTAAGAAAACACCCTGGAAAAAAAATCCTTGTCAAATTAGCAGCTAATGGAGGGATTTCTCGACCCCATGGCTTGGAGACAGACTCCTAACCTTCAAAGAAGTGTCCATATGATGCCATAATATGCAGAGCTTTGCTGCCTTTACAGGATCTCCGCGGGTGTGCAGGTCAAGCCCACAGGGAATACACTACATGATCAAAGACTTGGATCGTGTACAAAGAATTAAAGACAGTCAATGGATAAGCATGAAAAAGTAACAAAAACATGCTTTTCACAAATACCCAAGGATGTGGAAACTATTTTTTTTTATTTTTGTCTGATAAGAGTTATGCCCCAAGGGGAAGAGCACACAAAAGAGTATCCAGAGATGTCAAGGAAGATGTATCCATTAGGACAGGAAGGCCTTTAACAACATACAGATCATGTAAATGGTTTAGTTTTCCTGAAGGGAGACACCCTGCAGTTTTCAACCTAGACTCACAGACCCACTGACTCCCAAAGGAATTTTCTCTGCAGGGAGAAAAAGTGTTAGTACAGAAAATCAAAGATGGAGAATTAATACAAGGCAGTGAATTTTTGCTTCCAGTTGGGTGAATTCAAGTGTTTTGATCGCTGTTTTAAAATGCTGTTAATGGCCAGGGATCTCTAGCAAACCTGCCTGCAAACAAGTGCTTAATTTACTTTGCATTAATTAGTTACACTGCATTGGACATTTCAAAAGACAACAGGCTGGAAAAAAGGGAAAAAGCAGACACATACGTACAGAGAGGAAAGTCTGGAAAAACTACCCCTGAGAGTAATCATCAGAGATGAAATGCAAATATATATATTTTGAAACATACGTTTAGGTACCAGTTTTGTTGGTGCTGTAACATCTGCTTCTCTGTAAGAGACTGCTGGATCCATATTGTCTCTTTCAGGAGGAGGGTAAGGTGGGGGTGGGGGGATCACTAACTGGGGTGGGTCACGAGTGGGGCCCCTAGGAGGCTTTTGTGGCACCTGCCGTCCATCACCTACAGGGGATCAATTGACTAGTTACTTCAGCATCAAGACAACAATTGCTGTGCTTACTGTTTTTATAACATGCGTTGATTTTCCTTTACCCATATCCAAAGTCCCTCTGGATATAATTCTGCTCTTATTTAACTGCAGGTAATTAAGGGAGAAGGAAAAGCCTGGACTCCTACGTCAATGAGAGTAGAACCAGGCCCAAAATATACATGTACATCACAACTAACAGTTGGTATCTTTATCGGTGTTTTGCCAAATATAAGGAAGATGAAAAATAACTGAAGGAGGAAAAAAAAAAAGCTATATAAGGAAATGAAACATAAGAAAGTTATATTATTCCTAAATATCAAAGTGAATGAATTTGTTCACTTCTAGGATACTTTATGTGACTATTTTCCTCACTCTGTAAGAGAAAAAAGGAAAATGCCTCAAATCAGTATTTTTAAGTAGGTATCTTGACAGGTTCTTCTTTACCTCGGTAGTTTTGGTATCATTTTGTCACTGGGGGGAAGCAGCTGATTAAGTCATTCTTAACAAAACTGTTAAGCTATCATAGGAAACACTCATAACTTTGACTGGGAGCCTATTTCAATACTACATGCAATAACTAGATAGATATGCATAATTGCACTATGCTGCAGTGCTGAAAAGCTGTGGCCAGTTCGTAGTGCATAGGCCTAGAACAACTGCAATTCAAAATGTGCTTAGATGCTGAAAGCAAGCTAAGGAAACACAACTGTCTGGTTGCTCTGCCCTCATGCCCTGCCCTAGGCATCTGCACATTGGTCACTGACAAAAATGGATACTGATGATGGACCTCTTGCCTGCTTCATTCTCACTGCTACCGCACTCTTATGCTCATGCTCTGGTGCTGCTGAGAAAGGGAGCAGCACCAAGAGTGAGGAAAAAAGATTAAGCCATTATTGATTACTAGTTAGGAGTCACCAGTTTGAAGAGACTCACAACACAATTAAATGTTGCCAATATGCACTCTTTTTAAGTGCTATGAGAAAACAGCACAATGCTTTGGGATCAGAGCAAGTGGGTCAACATTAAATACTGAAGTGCTCCCCATCTGCCTGTTTGAGAATATTTTAAATAAGATCTTTTTCTCAGATTCATGAGGCTAAGCTGGGAGATGCATACGTAGCTTTAATTCTTTTTCATCATGAGGCTGCCTATTTCTCACAGTACATTTCCCCCTCACTACTGTCTTGCTTTTTTCACAGCTTTTCTTTCCTGCTTTCAGAGCCATCTGTGCTTTCTCATCATTTTCTTCCAAGGACCTAAAAGAGAAGCTGTTTTACCAATCTTCCTTTGCTGTAACATTTCTTCTTGTTAATGAACGTATTCATTCAAGAAAGTAGCAGAAAATGAGAAGCACTGAGGATTGAGCTACTGTGGGATAAGCTCTTTGTCGGTGTAAATTAATAAGGCTGCACTAAAGTAAACGATACTAAGCCCTACATCAACAGTCTGGCCAGCAGGCACTTACGTACACAGCACTGAACAACTAGAAGTGGTTCTGCTCTGCTTTATTTCAGCTGCAACACTGAGCACTGATACAAAATAAACTTAACACTTAAAAAAAAGTTAAAGCACTACGCATTATCAATCATCAACTTGCAATAGGGCAAGATGTGAGAAGTGTCAGGCTGTGACATCAGCAATAGTTAAAAGTAAGCCTATTTGCTGAAAACTCTTGTATTATATAGCGCAGACATAACATTCCCCTTGGGGGCCTTAAATAAGAGATGTCAATGGAGTTGAGCATGTCATAAGATAATGGACTCCTGCTGCTGCATAAATGCTGAGGCATTAAATGTGAAGCATTTACTGAAAATAAATGTTGGAACAAAGCCAAGAGGTTTCTTTCTAAACTGTGAGGCATTCGTAATGTAAGCAATTATGTATGACAGGATGTCATATCTGTATGTCTTAGGCACTTTATGGAACATGAGGTCAAAGGCATGAACTGAAGTGCACTGAGTGCATTACAGCACTTAGAGAATGATTCTCTTAATGTACTGAAAAACGAGTTCCAATATGTGGGGTTATTATCTCATATCTTTACCCATCGTAAAATCACTTTGTTTGCTAAAAGCATAATCTTGGGGTCCTCACTTGGGCAAAGCTCCCACCGACCTGAATGAGTTTGCAGTCAGATAACAATAGAGGTCTGGGAGAGCATTTTCCAGTATTCCTGTATGACAGTAAATGTGTCACATACAGCTGAAGACCACAGTTCCTTTGCTGTCTCCAGCTACGTATGGAATTCCTTTAAGAGCACCAGTTATTTTCTTCTAGCTATAGACTAAGGAGAAATTAATTTAAAATAACATCAAGAAACACATTCAAAATAAAAACTTCACTGAACATGGTGAGTCGATATCAAACTTTTGGAGGACTACAGGAAAAGAACATGTCTTTCAGTTTTAGGAACATTTAGGAGAACAAGCTTGACTGTACTTAAGTTCTAGTAGAATTCCATGGCTTCAGATGGATTCAGAGTTGCCTGGCCTATTTCCTCATTTCCCTTTAACCAGCAAAACCACCATGACCTTAGAGGCACAGAAAAGGCCCAGGACAAATATTCTGGAATATCTAACTTGTACCAAACATTCACGTTGTCCACAATAATCTACCTTTTACTACTCCATAGTACTCTGAATGGTGCCATTAAAACAAGAGGCAATATACAAATTTCCAGACTTTCATTCTGTAGAATAAATGTATTTTTTTCCCCTCAGGTTATAGAATTTCCCAACTCACAGCATAACAGAATTAAGAAAACTCCGAATACTAGGTGCTGAAAGCACATGCATGGAATTACACAGGAGAAAACAATGCCTCTTACCCATTGTGCTCTTCCTCTTGTCTTCCATCTCTTCCCTCCTATTTGGCATGGCAGGAGTAGGTGGAGCAGACTGAGTTGGTGGAAGAGGTGCACGCCTCTTCTTTTTCTGTAGATCATTAAGAGATGCTCCTTGTGAAATCTAGTAAAATTGAAAAATATGCAAAGTAAAGGATGTGTTGGTGTTTTTTTTAAGTTATCAATAGCATAAAAAGTGATAGTCATATGACCTAATTTATTTAGCACACAGAATCATCAAAATATTTAAAGTAAGTATTTACAGTGACAACAAGAGATTGATAAGACAGAAAACAAAAGGCACAGTAACGCGCTCAGAGAAGGACAGGCAAGAACTGCATAGAAATGTCACAAGAGAACTACCAGTCTATTCCATTAGATATATGTGGTAGGAGACTGGAGAGCAAAGCATAGTATGACACTATGTGTAATGGCTTAACCCATACTATGCTCTTGTTTGTACCATTGATTTCTTCAGATCTTAAATTATGGTTAAATACTGCAATCTGTATATGTAGGGAATAAATGTTCTCTCATTTCTTTCATTTTCCTCTCAAAATGATGCTTCAGAACTTATGAGAATCAAAATTTGAAGTCTGTTTGTATAATAATCAGAGATGATACTGCAATCGATTTATATTTACTGCACTTCTTAGACAAAGTTCTGAAGATCTCTAACACCTCTGCTTCCAAAAACTGCAACATGTTGGTTGGCCAGTCAAAACTTCATTACTGTTTACAGTGCTTTTTATATTATGAAAAATTTTATTAAAAGTGTCTTGGGTTTCACTGCATTGCATAATATTTTCTGTTGATAGTTGGAACATAGCTCTGTTTCCTTTCACTGGAAAAATAATTAAAAAAAAAAAAAGCAAAAAACATGTACGAAAACCTGCTGAATTTTCATATTTGAAAAGTACCAGCAACAATAGACAGAACCAGGCACAGCTAAGGCAGAGGGCAATGCAAGCTGCCCACACATAGCATGCTGTCAGCATTCCTCAGTGCTCCCTCATATTGCTTCACTGCTCTGTCCATCCTGATAATCTACTTACCTGAAGATACTTAATATAAAGAACTACCTGGTAGTTTTCTAATATTAATGAAGGCCTAAGTAATAATAATCCTTCCTTTAATCCAAAAGACTAGTGAACTCTTAAAATACATTTGTTGTGGGTGATTTCATTAAATGAATACTAGCTTTACACTGCTCAAAGGCATTATCAGAGATTAGAGGAAAAGCATTCATTTGTATGTGTCCTTTCCTAGGCTGAGTGGAAACCCCGAGCATAAACAAATTTTACAAAGAACAGAGCTTCCCTCTCTTAACCTTCCTTTTCAGAAGTCCTCAAGAAGGATCTAGTTTATAAAATAAGGAAACTCAATTACCACCCAGCAGGACGATGCTCTAACCACAGTGTCACAGGACATGTAGATGCTCTCCACCTGTTCTCCTGCACATGGAGAAATCTGGTAGTAACTGCACTGCCATTAGAGTGCATTAACCAGGATGGGCTGCAAGCTCCAGCAAACAGAGACAGAGGTGGGGAAAGAAAGGTGTCCTGGTTTTGGGATCCAATAACATAGACTACTTCTGAATTATATTAAATATCCATTGGACACAGTATGTGACTAAAGCCAGCAAGGCCAAGCTAGATAAAACTAAGCATAGTCAGTGGCCAAGAATGTTGGCCAAAACTTCATGGAATTTGAAAAAAATACCCTTCTCTTCAGAAAAGAGCATCACGCCAAACATTCAGTAATAGGAAAAATAGCAAAAACTGAGCATTTCTTAGAAAAACTTTTATTCAAATTAATAGTTATAAATGGGGCACCTCTCACTGAAGAAACTGTCTGCTAGTTGTTAGAAACTGACTACAAGTGACTAAATTGGATTTAGTATTTAAAAAAAAAATGTTTTCAGTACCAAAATACCCTATATGCAGCTGAATAAAGATGAGAAGTTCTGTTCAGTGAAACAGACTCATCTGGCTCTGGTTTTGCAGACTAGGAATTCATGGAGGACAGCTATCTAATTCTTTTCCATGCTTTCTTAAGGCAATTAGGAAAAAGGCACCTAGGAAAAAAAAAATCATGGTTCTCTGTTTTGCCTTTTAGAATAAGCAAATACGTTTAAGCTTTTAATGCTTGATTCTTTAGGGTGGTACTTTACAAAAAAGAGAGAATCATCAAAGTGTGGATGAGACCGAACATTAAAATCTGACACTAGTATCCAAAACTCAGTAGCTACAAAAAATCATCTGAAAGACAGGCAAAATTAGAATTTCCCCCACACTTGATAAGTACAGGCAATGACTTTTGCAGCTACTTAACAGCAATTTTTAGCTTCCAGATTCACTTATGTCTTTCCAAGCAGAAAGGTCACTTTACTTGAGGATAAAAATGGATGACTGGTGATTTAAATGATAAGCCTAGGAAATCTCAAGAATCAAGACAAAAAGAAAAGTATTTTTCCACTTGAAATGATAGAGATCACTAACCAGCCATCACTGAGTACCAGGTAAGTGAAGCATGTTAGTCTGGTATAACCAAATTCCTAAAAGATACGTTATGGTGTTACAAAGAAGAAAGAACTCTCGAGTGAAGCCAACTTATATCAGCTGTACGTGTTCTTATTTGGAGGAACCTTCTAAGGAACATTAGACAGATGTATGGGTAAATAAACTGCTACTGATGAAAAAAAAACCCTAAGTAATAGATAGCACACAGTAGCAATAACAAAAGTTTGGTTAAATACACGCACAGAAACTTTTATCGTATAGTCAGCTAAGCACGGCATACTTCACAAACACCATAAAGAAGATGAACACTGCTGAAAGCTAGACAGACTGCAATGTATATAGAAGCGTCTAGCTCAAGAACAGGTTGTAAAAAATTGGTAAAGTAGTTCTTTAAAGCTAACCTCAGTAAACATATGAGGCTAACCATCAATACTAAAAAAACACAAAGAACATTCTGTTTCCTTCTTGCAATTGTGTATACTGAAACAATAGAACTTGAAAATAATTTGTTATGGCTGGCTGCTTCTTTTATAAAGAAATCAAGCCTTAACAACATTATCTGAAATAATTTCCCATCCAAATTTTGTTACAGGAGCCCCTCTCTGAGTGTAACAGAGTATTTCCGATTCTTAGCACCTTCAACTATTATTTTTTAAGGAAGTAGATGAAATTACTAGGTGATCTTCAATTCATGCAACACTTACTAACATATTTAAAAGTCATGTGTTCTGTGACTATAACTAATACGATCAGCTGAACTAGAGATGAATGAAGTGGGTCAAAAGGACCTAAATCTGACAAACAGTGCAGTTTGTTTCCATACTGACGACAGCAAATATGATGAAAAAAAAAAAAAAATCCATTAAATTCGTATCATGGCTCACATTTGAAAAATGCTTCCAATGCTGCAGACAAAATATTTGAGAAATATTCTGAATGTAGCTTCTATCTGTCAAGGTTCAAAATCTTTGTTAAAATTGGAGGGCTCAAAAAACACTTAAAGCAAAACAACGTCACGAGGAGGCTATGTGCCCAAGGAAAAAAGGAAGGGTACCCTACAAGTATGATGATAGTAAATTTTAATCAGTAGCATTTGATAGTCACCTAAGTTGCAAAAGGGTCTTGGAAATTATACCGGTAAATGTATATATATATATATATATTTTATGCATAAGAGTTCAGTATTTTGGATGGGTTATACTGCACCAAATAAGCTGTCATGAAATATAACAATGGAGATTGAAGGAAACAAAAGCCAATGATCATCAAAAATTCACTGAATATTCAAAGACAAGGAGGTTCTCAGATAAATTTCCAGTAGGAGCTCTACTCCTTCGCTTTGCCTGTCTTGACTTATAGGTCAGCCCTGCTTTTGTGTTTAATCACCCCTCCCACTATTAAGCTTCTAATAGTAATATCTATCTGTGTAATTACTTGCTAAGTCATCTGGCAAATACCACGGTCCTTTTATTCACAAACCAAACTGAGCCAAAATATACTACAGGCTTAATGCTCCCCAAACAACTTCCTTTTGCAAGCCAGAGGCCACATTGCTGTACTGCACTCCTCTATCCTCCAGCATCTCCCAGCTCTGCAAGTCACCTGCTGACACTGGCTATGTATCTGTCTTCTCAATCACTACATTGACCAGAAAAGAAATCTCACTGTGCTGTTTCCAAAGACAAATTAATTGCAACAGCACACTTGGAGAGTCACACATATCCATCTCTGGCCTGTTAAGGGCAGCCCACAAGCACTTGCTACAGATGTTAGAGGGGCCTTGGCTTAATTCAGCCTTGAAAGATGCTTGTAGTGCATCCTTGTTAAATAACAGAATACAGCAATGTTCTAATGACTACAATTTTATCTTGACAATTAAAGTATGAAGCAAGTCGGAATTTCTTTTAAAATGGTGATACTAGCAGGTAAAAATGCTTAGGCTAATGCTAGAAACCCAGCAGCGTTTTGTGGGTTTGAGGTGAAAATATCACAAAACTTTTAAATTGGATGCTGAAAGCCACCTTTGGTGCTTTATGTGTACTAATGCCTTTCAAACAACATGTTCTGTCCATTTACTGAATAGCTGTGGAAGACCTGATGATCTTCAACAATTACTGCGTTGGGACACAGAGACCAGAAGGAAAACACACATTAACCTCCTTCTGCCAGGAGATACGTTTGGGGTGAAGAGGTGAGAGCAGACATACACTTTTTGAAGGACTGAGACAGGCCTGGAAAAAGCTGAGTGATTTCAGCTCGGAGGCACAACTAAGGACACAAGAAGGGATCAAAGCGAAAACTGAAATGGAAAGACTCCCTTAGACTTGCACAATAAAAGCAAATGGCACCTTCTTGAGTTACTTTCAGATTAACAAGGTTTCCACTGAACAACTACGGGTATCTTTTACCATACTTGGTGTTTACACCCAACTGGAGAAAGACTCAAGGAATCATAGACAGATACAACAAGTTCTAAATGTGCCTTAGAAGAAATCTCCTTAGCAGACCCAGTCAACACATGTCTGTAGTGTTAAAAAAAAGTGCATAGTTTGCATTTCAAAATCCAAACTATTCTTTCTAGTACTTCCACGAAAACAAGAAA